ACTTGAGATAGTTCTACTCTTCAATAATTTTGAGATAGTTTCTCTCTCTAAACATTTTGAAGTAGTTTATCTCCCTAAAATATGGCATAGTTTTTCTCTCAAATTTTAAGATACGTTCTCTCTTTAAAAGTTAAAATTTGAGATAATTTATCTCTAAAAATTTTGCGATAGTTTCCTTTTGTAAATTTTTTTGAGTAACAATGTGTATGTATAGAACCCCAAAGGATTACCATTAAATTTGGTACAGATCTCTAGAAAAGTTATCACATGGCTATGGTAATTTTATATAGCCACTCTCTTAAATTATCTCTCAAAAATTTGATATAGTTACTCTCTTAAATTTTAAGATACTTTCTCTCTCTAAAACGTCAAGTTTGAGATAATTTCTCTATCTGAAATTTTGAGATAGTTTCCCTCTTTAAATTTTGATATAGTGTCTCCCTAAAATTGGGTATACTTTCTCTCTCCAAAATTTAAATTTTGAGATACTTTCTCTCTCTCCAAAACTTACATTTTGAGAGTTTATCTCTCTAAAATTTGTTGAGATAGTTGTTCTCTATAAAAATTTCGTGTACTTTCTCTATCTAAAATTTGATATAGTTTATCTCTAAAATTTTAACATACTTTCTCTCTCTAAAACATAAATTTTGCAATAGTTTTTCTCTCAAATTTTTTTATGATAGTATCTATCTCTAAAATTTTTTTAGGTAGTTTCTTTCTCTAAAATTTGATATAATTTATATCTCTAAAATTTTAATATATTTTATTTCTCTAAAACTCAAAATTCGATATAGTTTCTCTCTCTAAAAAACTTGTGATATTCCTTTCTCTAAATTCTTTTTCCAATTTCTCTTTTTAAAATTATAATAGTTTTTCTCTAAAATTTTAAGAATACTTTCTCTCTCTACAATTTTAAGAATTGTTTCTCTCTAAAACTTAAGACTTGATATAGACTCTCTCTCTAATAATTTTTGAGATAGTTTCTATCTCTAAAACTTTTTAGGTACTTTCTCTAAAATTTGATATAGTTTATCTTTAAAACTAAAAAATTGAGATTGTTTCTCTCTCTAAAAGTTTAAAATAGTTTTTAAATAGTTTTTCTCTAAAACTTAAATTTTGAGATAGTTTATCTCTAAAACTTAAATTTTGAGATAGTTTCTCTCTCTAAAATAGATAGTTTATCTCTCTGAATTTTTTGGTACTTTCTCTCTCTGAAATTTGAACATCCTTTCTCTCTAAAAGTTAAAACTTGATATAGTTTCTCTATTTAAAAAAATCTGAGATTGTTTCTCTATTTAAAAAAATTTGGGCATGCTTGGGTAGATTTTAAAGCATATATTCCTAATATCTTGGATATTGTCAAAATCCACTGTTTGGATTGTTTAATGACTAGGATACTTAAAATCAAGAAAATCAAAATCATGAAAATAATACCAACTTTTTCATGATTTCATTTCCACACCAAGACCTGTTTTTTTGTATTTCCAAGGCCCATGGATTTCACTCATTGGCTCCATCGACCCGAAACATAGGGAGCATTTGGTAGGTATGAAAAGTTTAGAGAGACAAAGTACTAAAATTTTTTAAAAAGAGAAACTATCTCAAAATTTTTAGAGAGAAAAACTATCTCAAATTTTAACTTTTAGAGAGAGAGTATGTTAAAATTCTAGAGAAAAAAAGTACAATTTTTTTTTTTAAGAGATGAACTATCTCAAAATTTTAGAGAGAGAAACTATCTCAAATTTTAATTTTTAGAGAGAGAAAAATATGTTAAAATTTTAGAGAGAAAAAATATGTTAAAATTTTAGAGAGAGAAAATATCAAATTTTTTTAGAGAGATAAACTATCTCAAAATTTTAGAATGAGAAACTATATCAAATTTTTAGTTTTTAGAGAGACGCGATCATATTTTAGAGAGAGAAAGTACATGCAAATTTTTAGAGAGAGAAACTATCTCAAATTTTTTAGATAGAGAAACTATTTCAAAAAAATTTAGAGAGAGAAACAATCACATATTTTAATTTTGAGAAAGAGAGACTATATCAAATTTTAGAGAGTAGATAAAAAGTTTTAGAAATAGATACTATCTAATTTTTTTTAGAGAGATAAACTATATCAAATCTTAAGTTTTAGAGAGAGAAAGTATTATTAAAATTGTAGAGAGAGAAAATATTCTTAAACTTTTAGAGAGAAACCATTATAAATTTTTAGAGGGGGAAATATCTTGTTTTTTGGAGAGAGAAACTATCTCGAATTTTGAGTTTTAAAGAGAAACTGTCTCGAATTTTGAATTTTAGAAAGAGAAATTATATTAAAATTTTAGAAATAGAAATTATAGTAGATTTAGAGAGAGAAACTAGAGAAACTATCTAAAAATTTTTAGAGTGAGAAACTATCTCAAAATTTTGGAGAGAGAAACTCTCGCAAAATTTATGTTTTAGAGAGAAAAAATATATTAAAATTCTCGAAAGATAAACTATATCAAATTTTAAAAGGCAGTTGGCATACGGACGCCTCCGTTAGTGTAGAGGTATGGTGCCCTTCAAAATTTATCATGGTATATAATTTTGATGTAAAATATTATTAGGATTATCTCAAGATCTATTTTTATATCTAATTATAAAATTTTAAAGTTGAAAAATGGTTAAAATCAAGTAGATCTATAAACATATGAAAATCTTGAAAATGGACGGTGTAGATAATATGTTGTAAAATGCATTATTTCTGAAACTTAAAATCTTTTTATCTTTCATAGTCATACATCTTGATGTCGAGATGATCAATCAAAGGGTTTTTCAACATTAAAACTACCTTTTCCGATGGATTTTTGAGTGGCATTCGTAGTTCTACATTATAAGGTGGCATCCGTATGTAAACTTTTTCCAATTTAAATATAGAGAGTACATGATATTTTAGGGAGAGAAACTATCTCAAAAAAATTTTGAGAGAGAAACTATCTCAAAATTTAAGTTTTAGAGAGAGAAAGTATCTCGAATTTTAAACTTTGGAGTGAGAAAGTGTATCAAAGTTTAGAGATACACCATAATAAATTTTGAAGAGAGAAAGTATTTCAAAATTTTAAATAGAGAAACCATCTCAAACTTGAAGGTTTTGAGAGAGAAAGCATCTTAAAATTTTAAAAGTAATTATATCAAATTTTAGAGAGAGAAAGTACATAAAATTTTTTAGAAAAATAAACTATTGTAATAATTTTAGAGAGAAATTATCTCAAATTTTAGCTTTTAGAAATAGAAAGTATCTTAAAATTTGAAAAAAAAAACTATATCATATTTTAGAGTGAGAAACTACTTAAAAATGTTTAGAGATAGAAACTATCTCAAAATTATTGAATAGGGGAACTATCTCAAGTCTTAAATTTTAGAGAGAGAGAGTATCTTAAAATTTTAGAAAAAGAAACTATATCAAATTTTAGAGAGAGTAAATCACCTAAAATTTTAGAGAGAGAAATTATCTCAAAATTTTTAGATAGACAATTTCAAATTTTAAATTTTGGATAGAAAGTATATTAAATTTTAGAGAGACAAATGTTATCAAATTTTAGAGAGAGAAACTATCTTAAAATTTTTATAGATACACTATCCCAAATTTTGAGTTTTAGAGAGAGAAAGTATATAAAAATTTTAGAGAGAGAAATTGTATAAGTTTTGTTATCAAACAATGGACATAGAAGTGATTGCAAGGAATCCATGAATTTTGTATAGTTTATCCAAACATAAGATTTGAGGACTTAATGTTGAAAATCCATAAATTTCCCTGGATTTCAAATATCTAAGATTCTTTATTTCGTCCTATCCAAACGGGACCTAGGTACTTTATCTCTTTAAAATTTTCATGCCTACCAAATGTTCCATATGTTTCAGATAGAAGAAGCCAATGAGTGAACTCCATGGGCCTTGGAAATTAAAAAAAAAGAAGGTTTTGTTGTGGAAATGAAATCATGGAAAAGTAGGTCTTATTTCCATGATTTTGATTTTAAGTATCATAGTCATTAAGTAATCTAAGCGGTGGATTTTGGCAATATCCAAACTATTAGAAATCCATGTTTTAAAATCTTCGTACCCAAACATCCTCGGAGAGTATGACTATTAACAGAGCAGAATGACAAACCAGGATTCATATAGCCAATCCTAATTAGTCGGGACAAGACTTTGATGATGATGATGACTAATAATATTTTAATAAATATATTAGTAATTACAAAATATTAGAATTATAATTAATTATTATAAACGTGTTATACTAGTATAAGTAATTACATGGCCATATAATAATATTAACAAAATTATGATGGTTATAACATGAATAATATATGATATTGTTTGGTTTATCTTATGATTACTAAATATAATTATAAGTGAACTAATTATAATTTAAATAATATCCTCTTTATATTATTGAATTTGGTGCGTCAAATGTTGATGTTCTAATATAAGTATAAATGAACTAATTATAATTTAAATAATATCCTCTTTATATTATTGACTTTGACATGTCAAATGTTTATGTTCGATAATAAAATATCATATAAACAATTTACTAATTTTACTAAATAAATATCTAATAGTATAAAGATTACTAATTTTACTAAATAGATGTCAATAGTATAAAGAGATAGACAATCATACTTTCTCATTCATGACACTCATATTTTCCCACTCCATTTGTATCTTAATATTTCAAAAAATCTTAAAACCAAATACAAATATGAAAGCATTGAAGAGCATTTCGGGTATCTATACATCAACATAAATACTATCCACTACTTAATCAGTTAGTGAAATTTCAAGGTAATAGGTTCTATTTCCATTTACACCCATGCATCAATAAATCTAGACTCGTTTGCATATACACGTGTAATCAAATTTAGCACCGGTTCTTTCTTCATAGTACACACACTCGAAACAGCCACCGCATGTTTTTCGTAACACACTGCCTCTCATTCTCGTGGGCAGCACGTGCGTCTTTACTCGTATGTTATGCTTCTAACTCTCGACGACGAGAAAAAATAATCGATGGGAAACCTTCTTAACACAGCGTCAATATCCCTTTCTTCATTGGTGGCGGGCGAGCCCGAAGCTTCTCAAAATCCAAGCACTAGCTAGGGTTTCTTCATCTGATTCATTCTCGTTTATCAATTACTACACAAGCAGGTGTTTTTCTCTCAATTCTCTCGTTTCTTTTGATCTTTTTGTTTTCAATCGTGCTCTGTTTTTCCAAATCAATTGATGGTAGTTGATACAAATTGTCTGCATTTTTGCTCAATTATTGTTTCTTGTACCTTGATTACTGTTTAGGATGAATTTCTTGTTGGATATTTGTGTTTTGTGTCTGGGTTTGATGCTGGATTGGTTCCTGTGTCGTGATTAGCGATGGAGAACGGCTACTGGTTAGGGTTTGGTGTTTTAGTTTTGGCTATCATTGAAACTTTGTGTCATGCTTGTTTTCATGTGATTGCCCCATTGCTGCTGATAGTTTTGAGTTGAGTCGGTGTTCTCTATAGGAAAAACTAGGGTTTGATATGAGCGCATTGGAAAGGTTTTAAATTTAGAGCTTTCGAATTTTAATTTGAATGATATGATCAAGATCACATCAATCACATCTAAGTTTTTTTTTCATGTCTTTCCAAATTTCTCCAAATTAATTGGAGAGGTAAATGATTTTTAATTAGCTGACTCTGTGCCAAAAGAGCGGTTTTTTCCATGGTTGCATTTGCAATATATGATATTTTAGGGTTTCTGGATATAGTTTCGAGCCTTTCCTTCAGAATTACCTCACAGGTAGTAGAATCCTTGTGCATAATTGTGAATTTCCTTGAATTTATTTAACAAATGTGAACTTAACTTACTGAGTATTGAATTGTTTTTCTGATAAATTTTGCACGAAAGATATTGTTATGGATAAAACCACATTATGTGAGGACATCTCCCTAGGGGCCTATTGGAGAAGTGGAGGTTTAATCTTCCTTCTTGCTCCTTGGTTCTTCAACCTTTATTTTGTTGCTCAAGAGCACTTTTTTAACTTAGCTTGAAAAAACTTATAAAACTTATTTTACATGAACTACGTGGGATTTTTGTTTGTGTCATGGTTCACCGTAAAATGGTAGAATAACTTATAAGTAGAAGATAATTCAATGGGATGTTTCTTATTAAAAACACATAAGAAGGTGATACAACTCAGAATACATGTTTAACTATTTAGGTGACTTTGAAGCCCATGCAAGTTGGTCATTCTGGCAACAACTTTTGATTTATAAGATCTCAGCTCGTAGAAGTTATCTGATGGTTGACAAAGGAATTTCTTGCAATGTATAGCTTATTTGTTTAGGGAAGGGTGCATGTGGGTTTACTATTCTTGCATGGTTATATTTTGCTCATGAACTGTGGTAGTTTACTTGGACAGAGAGTTTACTTTGAAAAATGTTATCAAAGATTTTGGATAGAGAAGGCATTCCTGAGAATCTACTTCACAGACTATTTTGATGCTTCTTTGTCATTCGTAGAAGAAGCAATTGAATTATTGGATTCAGTTAATGCCAATTACTGTTGTGTGTATTTCTGTGTTATTTCTAGATTGATTTGATTATAGTTGTTAATTTCTTTTCTTTCCATTTCTTATGCATAACTTTATAGGCAGACATGGAGTTTCTGTCTATATAATTTTTTTGGTTGGATAACCCTTGTTTGCCTTCAGCCTGTGTTTTGGAATCATGTGGGTGCTATGGATAGAAATAGATATTTTCCATTTTTATCCCTCTCATACTGTGGTGGCATGAGCACGTAAATAGGGAAAAATAGCTGCAACTAAAGAAGCACTGACCAGAACCTGGGTCATCACCAAAAAATTTTGCCACAACAGCACTCAAACCGTGGTTATGGGATGACATCAGTGTTATAATTCTGAAAGAAATCCTGGATGGATTATCTGAGAACTCTGTTTGTTGTGCTGTTTCAACTCCTCTTTTTTGTTTTCTTTGTTGTGCTGTTTCTACTCCATATCTGCTCCCTTCTTATCCAGCGAAAAGGAAAGCAAAGGATTACTGATAGTTGATGAGAAGGGACATTTTGGAAAATTAGTAATTCTATCTATGAAAATGCATTTGTGGCTAGTCAATCAAGGATTCATGATAAAGTGGCATTCGATAAAATATGAATGGCCCTCCATCTAACAAAGATTTTACAAGCCTTAGTATCATTTAAAGAAAATACCAGGTGGTGTATTTTGCATGTTTGTTTAATTTTATAGCACATTTGAGGGTTCCTATAATATTAATAAACTATTGGACACAGATTGCGACTTTACAAGATATCCAATCTGACATGCTACAGGCCACAGCTTCCATTGAGAGTATGCCTTATATATCTCATTTTTCATGGGATGAAGGAGAAGCTGTTGAAGATGGTGTCATATCAAACACTGGGGAAAGGCATCACTTTAAAATATGCCGCATTTACTCTCCCAGTCACTAGGTCTTGCATGACCAAGGAAAAACACCAAGCAATTAGTTTCAACTAGCTTTGTCCGATATGTACAAGGTCTTTTACTAGATGGTGAACAAAAGAGGGTAATATAAAGTAAGTCAACTTGAAGTTGAAGGGCTAACATGGATTGATTTGCACCAAATATTGGGAACCTATAGCCATGACCCATTAGTAATAATTGTTCTATAACATATCGGGGCTTGCTCATATAAATATGAGAAAAGCCACCATTCATGTGACAATATGCTCTAGAATCTAAAATGCTAGAGGCGGGTGTTTCACCATGAGGCAGATGTTTCATCACAGACCCTTCAGCTTGAGATAGTTTCTGGAGAGTCATTGGAGCTATAAGAAAAAGTAATTCACAATAGGAGTTGAGAGAGTGGAATCACAACCCACTTTAGTCTCATTATGATTGGAGGACGCAAAGGATGCAAGTGAAGTTGCAGCTATCGACTATGAAGGACAGGCACTGTTAATTGATTTTGCAGTCCTTTAGGATTTTTTTTCCTGGACATGTAAGTTCTTTAACCTTTTTGTGATACTGTGCGGTGACGTGCTGTGATTATTTGCAACACTGGCCATTTCCTGCGATATGTTGAACTGTGTCCTCTTCTCCCATTCGCACCTATGATAATATTGGCTGAATGTTATGTTAGGCTGAGTCTCCAAATGCCCTGATCCTTTGTTGTGAGGGTAGACTGCTCATGTGAGCCTCTTGGAATATAATCCAAACATGACTTTCATTTAAAGTAGGGAAGGAGTGGGTGCCTCATCAATTATAGACTCATTTCTTACTTATAAGTTGTGTTGAGATGCCTTGTCGACAGCTTCTATTACCTGTGTTATTCCTTGGTTGTAGACTTGTAATTAAAAACTGTTCCTTCAAATAAAAGATACTTGGTCTATTCATCAAGGAATAAGATGTTGAATATTCAAATCCTAGTGCCTAGTCAAGAAGTGGACTAACCATTGTCTATTTTGTTAGGGTATAACAATCTTAAGCACCTCAAAGGGATATGTTAGTGCCATTGGTGCTTTCTTGCTGCAGTTCAACATTATGCTTGAAATGCATAAGATAGGGCTCGAAGGATTCTTCAGTTGATTTGTCTCCTTGAGACATTGACTCAGGACCCATTTGTGTGGCTGATGAATTCCAACTAGGAAGTGAGTTATTCATAATTGAATGGAAGACAGTTTTTTACATGCTTAATGTGTAAATAGTCTGACCCTATGTCTTTTTCTCATCTACGTTATAATGCCCCGATATAAATGCTGGTTGTCCATTTCAAATCTTATCTGTTCGTTTGTTTCCAATTATTCTAGTATTTACATGAGATTTTTTTTTTTGGCTTGTTTCCTAGTATTTTAGCTTTACATGATCGCACGTCAATTGCTTCAGCTGAAGTTTGTTTAGCATTCAATTTGAAATATTTATTGCTGCATCCTATGTGAAATTTGATTTGCGTTTTTTTTACTTTTATGCAGGAATTAGTAATCCATTCCATTTCCAAAGTTTGTTAATCCTAATACTGAAGCCATGTGATAGGAATGGAAAAATAGCATCAGTGTTCATTGGAAGATGGGAATCTGGGTTATAGCTGTTTGGTTCTTGGATGCATGCATGTTTGGACATGGTTACCATGGTTGTGTCATGATTATTGGCCAGTGTTGGAAGTGTAGGTCGTGGAACAGTAAAATTTTAACTCTCAGCACAATTAGTATTTAGAAGTTCGCAGCAGCAATATGCATGTACAGGCCCATATGTCGGGACAGATTTCAGGGCAGCTTCCTAATCAAGCTGGTACTCAGTTACCAGGGTTACCACAGCAGAATGGTGGCACCCTGCCTTCCCAGGTCCAAACCTTAGGAGGTTTTCAAGGATCATGGCATGCAGACCCTGATGTCATTGCAGTGCGCAACTGTATGCAAGAGAGGATGTAAGTCTTACTTACCATATGTGGTTGTTCTCTAGGGTGCTATTTATCCATGCTATGTAGTTTAAAGCCATTCTTCTTCTTTTGTTTAAGAGAATTACTTGGCAGCCCTCTAGTGAATTGTTTTTCTTGATAATAGTGAACGGTTTTTCTTGATATTGGGACCTTTCTATCGAATTGTCTTTGGCAGTAGATATTATTAGTTGAAAAATGATTCAAAGATTTCCTTTCTGAATATCGACAATATGAAGGTGCAGTAATATATTCTATGCTATATTGCGTGTGATCCTTGAATATTCTGGAATTCTGAATTCTGGTGGGGTTAAAATCTGGAGACACACAGCATCAATTTTTGGTATATGATATCTGGAAATTTGGCCGGAAGCTGTAAAAATATCTCTTTTTCATATTTGGCCAGTTTGAGAGATGCATGCATACATTTTTGCTTTCTGCAGCTTGCACTTTCTGCAACGGCAGCAAAAAGCTCCCAACTGGCAGCCAAAGCTACCCGATCTTGTAAAACGCTTGGAGTCCGGCCTGTTTAAGGATGCTCCATCTAAGGTTGGAGATGACAACTTAAATAAGTTTGTGTTTATCTTTCTTTTCTGAATCTTAGGCTTCATTTCTTCTGAAGAAAAGTACATATGGCACACTGTCCATGCTGATTATGGTAAAAACATTTCAATTACAAGGGAAGTTTGCAAAATTTATTTGGACTTGTATAAGGACATGGAATTGGTTATTCATGTGCTTTCTGAAGTCTCTGAATTTTAATTGAATTGAATTTATTATGTTTCAATACCAGGACGAGTACGTGGATTTAGATACACTGGAGCGCAGGATACAAGTGATTTTGGAAAAACATTCAAATCGCAATCAACAATTAGTTCATCCAGTTACTTCTTCATCATCCTTTGGTACAATGATACCAACTCCAGGTCTATCACAAAATAGCAACACGAGCCCTGCACTCCCTTCTTCTATGGATAACCAAGGGATGGCAAACATGGGTAGTAACAGCATGGTACCAAACACTGTTGGCATGGGAAACATGTTACCAATGACAAATGGACCTGTTGGCATAGGACATGGCACTTCCTTTAATGTGTCTGATGGTAATTACAGCAAATCATTCTGGTGCTTAAATATGTTTTTCCGTACTTCATAAGATGGTGACAAGTTTCTTTATTTCATGTTCTATATTTTCAGGACCTGTACATAATGGGTATCAACAAACACTTGGCAATATTGGTTCTGGAAACAATTTGGTTTCGTCAATGGGCATTCAGAGACTTGGAAGTCAGATGATCCCTACTCCTGGACTGAACAATCAACAATCCATATCGGTGAACCCTGCAGGCTCTAGTGGAGGAGGTTTTTCTTCTATGGAACCTATTATGATGCCACATCAACAGCCTCCGAAGCCGTATATTGGAAGTCAAACTAATCGAATGCATAATCTTAGTGGCCAAATTGGAATTGGCTTGAGATCTGGCATGCAGCAAAAACCTTCTTATGGGTTTCCGAATGGAGCCTTGAATGGTGGATTGCCCCTGGTTGGGAACAATATGCATCTAATGAATGGGACTGGGCCATCTGATGATTATTTGAGTTCTTCTATTTTTGGAAATTCTCAAAAACCCCCTCAGCAGCAATTCGAACGGCAACGCCAGCAACAACTAATGCAGAGTGAGTTGCCTCTGTCATCCTGTTTTTCACTTCAGGACAGCTTTTTTGCTATTGCTATGATTATGAGCTTGTCTATGATAGTCAAGCATTGAGATGCAACCCACAATCTAGGATGTGAGAATATGCTGGGTTTGTTTTGTTAAAAGTTGTTGTTCACTGTATTTGAAAAACTAATAAGTACATAAAGTAGTTTATGGTTCTCCGCATATATTCATTTTGCTCTCATTTCAAAGTAATTCTCGCAATCGGATATGATGTCGTCCTTTTTTTTTGAGAATGGTAGATGGATGTGTTACTCTTTTAATGTATGATTTCCTTTCCAATTTTTTTAAGTAGATGGGTTATGTAACCATTTACAAAGAAAAAAGTACTCCTGCAGGTGAAAGTTTTGCAATGAATGCTGCTGATCTTTCTGCTACTGGTAATTTATATGGTCCTACCACGTCTATGGGACCTGCTGCAACTAACCAGAATATGAATTCGCTCGGGTTGCAGTCTAAGTTGAAGACCCACTCTGCCTTGCAATCCCATCAAACCAATTTGCAGACACTCCAACAGGCTTCACACACCAAGTCTCAACAGTTCGATCACATGGCAAAGATGAATTTCCAGCCACCTCAGATGACAAGAGACCATGTACTCCAATCTCAGCAACCACTTCAAAAGTACCAACAACCTCAGTTTCAGCAGCTGTCTCATCAGGCATATCAACAGTTTTCCCAGCATCAACACGAACAGAAGCAACAGAATCAGCATCACCAACAAGTATTGATAAAGAATGAAGCAATGAGGCAAACTCCGCCTCAATCAAACCTGGGTGGACAGATGATGGGAGAGCAGGGAATGGAGCCCCATGATGATGGTATCCTTCAGCAAATATCAGATCAGTATCAGCTCACTGAAACACAAAACCAGTATCAGCAGGTTTCAGCTGCTGAAGATCATTCCAAAGGATCTCAGATTCTTTCACACAATTCAAGCCCCCAGGAGTTGCGCTCCCAACTCTCTCAGCCATCGCATCAAATGCAACAGACTTTGCATCCACACCAACAAATAAACCAACAACAAAATGAATTTAGCAGTGTCGCTATTGGATCACAGGCCGAATCTCTCTTGCATGGACAGTGGCATGTTCCAACTGCTGATAACTCGCAGGCTACCGACCAGTCATCGCTTGAGAAGCATGTCCAAGAAGATTTCAGGCAGCGACTGATGGTACTAGATGAAGCTCAAAGGCCTCATCTCCTGCAAGAGGGATCTATGGGTGCAAGGGTTAATTCTTCAAAAGGGGCGCCAATGCTGGAAGCACCTATTGGTGCTAGCCGTGGATCTGGGAATAGAAACAGTGAGTTGCGTGGACAGCAATTTCATAAGCAAACAAAGTGGCTTCTATTTTTGTTCCATGCGAGTAAATGTAAAGCTCCACATGGAACTTGCCTATCTCGCGAATGTGTAATTGGTCAACAGTTGTTGGTTCACATTGCAAAGTGTCATGAAGCTCAATGCGGATATCCTCGCTGCCGTGAGTCTAAGGGTCTATTATGGCATAAACGTAATTGTCGTGATGCAGATTGCCCTGTTTGTATTCCTTTCCGCCAAATGATATTACGACATAAGGCTTTGAATCGTGCCCCGTCTGAATCTGGACCATCAAATGCGAAGAATGGTACTTGGAAGACTGTGAATGCTGCAGATGCTACTAGAACAACGACGAAATCTATCAGTTCTACTTTTGAAGCTTCGGAAGAATTGCAATCTTCACTGAAAAGAGTGAAAATGGAGCACTTGTCACCATCTGCTCCCTTGATCAAGAGTGAGCCTCAGGTGTTTGTTCCTCCTATAAGCCAAACACCAGTACAGTTTGATGAAACACCACAAGTATGCCATGTTGCTGAAGATTCTAGAAATGTTAAAGTTGAGGGTGTGGTAATGAAGATGGAATCATCTGTAGTTGCAGCTAGAGTAGGTCTTGAAAGATGTGTCGAGGATAAAAAAGCTGAACTAGGGCAACCAGCTGCAGCAATGGCTGAGGTTGTGTGTTCTACTACCAGTGAAGTTGTCATTCAAACTAAGCAAGAACACCAGCCGGATCAGATGGAGACTGAGCCAATTAAGAGTGACGTTAAGCCTGAAACTGCTGTAGCACCCATTGATAATGCAGCAGCTGGTAAAATGGGAAAGCCAAAGATTAAGGGTGTGTCGTTAACTGAATTGTTTACTCCAGAGCAAGTTAGAGAGCACATCATTGGTCTTAGGCAATGGGTTGGTCAGGTCAGTCCCTTAATTCTTTCATCTGTGACATTGAAAGTTTTCTTATGACTATCTGATATCATGCTACAGTACTGCATCGTGCATTTATCTGTGTTGGACTTTTTATTGCCTTTGAGGTTTTGAGTGTGATATGAAATTATTTGATATGAAATTATTATCTTTACTCATCTTATAAGCACCATCTTTTCCTTGATTAAATCTATAAGGGAAATATATTCTTCATGTATAACTTTGTAATCAACATGAAATATTAAATGATTCATTGTAATTTCTTCTGCATTTCATTATTTATCTGATCTCTTAATGGAATTGGCAATCTTATACATTAAAACATAAAATTTGGGTCTTTCTGCAATTTGGTCAATGGCCTGTTGTCATCAGTTCTTGGCTTAATATTCTGGGGCCCCTTACTTTGTGCTCCTGAGCTTACTACTTCTATAATTTGTGGATGGTTATCAATGTGACCTTTCCTATGTCACACATTGAGAGGATCTTTGGACAAAGTGCACAGGAAAGCACTTGTTTAACACTGAAGGATGGTACAGATAGAGACATGGAATTCTCTGGAAAGTGCATCATCCCTCATCCTTTCCATTGTTCTGCCTCCTACTGATGCCACTTCACCGTTTCTTAAATATCAACAGAAACACAAGCATTTTTTTTTTTTTAAATATTTGTAATGAAGAAAATCATTCTAATTCATACAGCATGAAACTGATATTTGTCTCTCAGTATATTTGGATGGATGAAACTAGTCTATAAACTCTTGGCACATCGACTCTTGCCCGAGTCACTTTAGCATGAGAGTTGCCTGAGTCTTGTGTTAAAGCACGAGAGTTGCCTGACTCCAGTGTTTTCACAGCTTTCTAAACAAACACTCCGAGTCTTTCAAGATTCGTCTTTCAGACTCTGAAGACCCTGGTGAGTTCCAATCCAATTCTGAGTCTTCAAACACTGGTATGAAAGTTCTGTGCAACTCATTTCTATACAGAGAATTGGGCCTCTCTTTTCTTTCTTTCTTTTTTTTTTCTGTCAGAGGCAAACTGTTGTCAGATCTAGAGTGCATAGTCATCTGTATGCTGTTAAGTGTTATTATCTGCATGAGATCTGTTGAACTATTAATCTCTATGCACTTGCCACATCGCACTCGTTATGGGGCATAGGATACTCAACCTCTGTGAACCTTACCCAGTTGTATTTTGAGAGTGACCACACAATGCCACTTGTTGGTGCTCATTTCCTGCCTGTTGGTTGGTTCCATTCTGGCTCAAGTGGTGCTTTTTGAACTGATCATCTTATAGAATCACCTCCTTGATGGCTTTCTACTTAGGTTAATTGAATCATGTTTTAATGAATACTTTGCCCTGACAGATGATATCTTCCAGCCTCCAGGTGTATTTATTTGTTAGGCTACTACAATTTTAAAGCAAACTGTTACTTCATAATTCGGGTCTTATTCTTTCCCCATATTTTGTAGGTTATTTGGGTTATTTATGGTTTTTCTGTTTGCCCACCTGCTAACCACTCAAGATGGCATTAAATATCTTTGGTAATTCTTGCAATTTGTACCTGGTATACATTAACTGGTGACAGTTATTTCTTACGTCCCTCTTTTCCTGTAGTCTATTCTTTACAGGGGACTAATTGTTCTCTTTTTCTGGTCTTCTATACTTTACAGAGTAAAGCAAAAGCTGAAAAGAATCAAGCAATGGAAAATTCAATGAGTGAGAATTCTTGTCAGTTGTGTGCTGTTGAGAAACTCACTTTTGAACCACCTCCTATATATTGCACACCATGTGGTGCTCGTATTAGGAGAAATGCTTTGTATTATACCTTTGGCACTGGTGATACTCGGCACTATTTCTGTATTCCATGTTATAATGAGGTAAGAGGAGAGTATATTGAGGTTGATTGCACTAATATTCCGAAGGCAAAGTTGGAAAAGAAGCGGAATGATGAAGAAACTGAAGAAGCGGTGTGCTCTCTCTCTCTCTCTCTCTCTCTCTCTTGCTCCTGTTTGGGTCATTCTCTGCTCGACTTAAAGATCTTTCTCCTCATGGTCTCCTATTATTTGTCTGCAGTGGGTTCAATGTGATAAATGTGAAGCTTGGCAGCATCAAATATGTGCCCTTTTCAATGGCAGAAGGAATGATGGTGGGCAAGCTGAATACACCTGTCCTAACTGCTATATATCAGAGATAGAAAGGGGAGAAAGGAAGCCTTTGCCTCAAAGTGCTGTTCTTGGTGCAAAAGATTTGCCAAGAACTATCCTTAGTGACCATATGGAACAACGACTTTTTAGGAGGCTGAAGCAAGAGAGACAAGAAAGGGCAAAACATCTGGGGAAGAGTTACGATGAGGTAAGTCAAAAAGTTGATGATTTCTTTGACAGTTATGTCTGAGAAACTCAACTGTAAATCATGTGCATGTAATTTTTCCTTGGTATCAGAAGTATGTCGATGTTGGTATATGTTCTGCAATATTTTCTTTATTATTGCCATTTTTTAGTGTTGATGGCCTATTTGATTATTGACCTGTCATCTAAAACCAGGATCTTTCTCTCAATATGAATTGATTCACTTGTCTTTCCTGAGTTTTTTTTGTTAAGAATATAAAGGACCCAGAACCTGGGTGGCCCAGTCGAATCCAAAAAGGATGCCCATTTGAATTAAAAAAAGATATATAGTATAAAAAATAAAAATTAGGTATTTAGGGCACTTTGAGTTTGATTGCTCAATCTTCAAACTTCCACCATCAAAGATGCTTTCTAAGGACTCAAAATCTTCTAAAAGACCTCCAATAGATCTGTAAAATATCAAAAATTAAATCTAATATCAATGGGCGATGTTTTGATCAATTTTTGTCAAGTTTGAAAAACCCTTCGATCCTAAAGAAATTACCAAAAACTAGTTTTTTGGAGGCTCTCTCTCTTTAAAATGGGCTCCAATAAGTTAGGTTTCAAATGAACTTAAAACCATCATTCTAACCCTTTATATTTTTTTAAAAAAATCAATACAAAAAAAAAAAATTTCACCCTCTGGGTGGGGTGCCCACCTAGGCGGTTTCCGTACCCTCTAGGCGGGGGACCTGCCTAGGCGGGTTCCGTATCGCCTAGGCGGCCGCCTAGGGACTGCCGCCCAGATTGGCAGCCTAGGCCTAGGCGATGCTCCCAGGCCTTCTGGACCGCCTAAGTGGCCGCCTAGGCTCTGGGCGGTCTGCTTTTTGAATCATTGATCCGAATGTCACCCCTGTATTATTTTAATTGGGAATGTAATATTATTTGTTTGCTTTTTATATTATGCATTTTTTCTCTTTTTTTAATTATTGCAGTATGTTCCATGATTTTATCAGCAGCCATTGGTGATCTTTTATTTTACACCTGTATGGTGCACACGTGTAATTTATATGACTATTTTTCAGGTGCTTTAATTCCATAACCTGAGGTGTTATGAAGTTCATAATTCTGAGTCCATCTTGCTCTCACTATGAGCAAATAAATTTATGGCTCTGTTTTCTTCTGTTATGATTTTGCGGGACTTTTGAGAGTCTTCTAAAAGAGATTGTATTAAGGGGGGGAGTCATTTTTGAGCATTGTGGTTTGATAGGGGAGGGTTGGGCATTGGAACACATCCCTTTTGGTGCTTGTTATGTATTTCAAAGTTGCCTTCATGGCTTTGTCGCTTGGTGATTTTTGGTGTTGGAAGAGCTAGATATTCTTTGGGGTTTATGTCCTTATTGTTGCATTGTATTGTTTATGTTGTATTTTTGATGGTTCTGTCTGTTGAGGAGTCCTCTGTACCATATTGATGCAGGAAGAAAAGGTGGGAAATTGAATCCGCCCTTAACTTTAAACAGGTAAAAACAGTAATAATGGAGAAAGAACATGGCTGTAAATCAAGCCAAGAGAAGAACAACTTTCTTCTTTCATAAAATAAAATTCATTCTTATAACAAAAATATGATACCCAACCTTTTATAAGCCTAAGAAACCATAATTTAACTTGAGATCCAAGTAAACATTTATGACTAAAAAATACCCCTAAAACAATATTAAATGTCAAAAATACCCCTGTAAACAATAACTATGAATAGTAATACGTGAACAGTACCATGAATAGTACTCATGAATAGTAAATAAAAAAATAAAAACCCTGGAATCTAAAAACAAAACTTAAAAGTCCTAAAACTAAAATCAAAATATACATCCTTTAAAATTGAATAAAAATAAAAAATAACAATAATGCCCTCCATCATTCTTTATTAGTTGGAGAAAACTCATCCTCGGGTTTTGAATTGTGTTAAGATGAACCTTGCATCAAAACCACCTTCTTCAACCTTCTTTTTTTTTGTTGGCTCAAATATTATTTGAGGTAAAACAAGAAATAGATCTTGATATGTATATTGAGGAAATCAATGCAAATTTATCAATTACGGATATCTTTGAACTCCCTTTAAAAGTTGTGTAAGATACTCCAAACTCAATTTTATGGTCTTTAGAAGCTTTCTCAACATTTATTTCATTACTCTCTGGATCCAAGGCTACAATGTGCCAATTCTGAGTCGACCATGCTTTCACTTACTTTGATTCCAATGCTCGAAATCTCTTGAATGCTCCACCTCTTGAGTATTAATGAGATCTTCAATGGCCATGATTTGGATCAGTCGTTCTGTTGCCTTCGCTCAATATTCTTCACCCTCTTCCAAAATATCTTTACCATCAGCTTGATCCTTAACATAGATCGGATCTCCTAAGAAATCTTGTTGTTTGTTTGAGTATATATCAAAGATTGGTGGTGAATTTCAATCAACAACTTGCTGATTTTTTATGCAATCTGTGTCAAAATCAATAATCTCATCCTTCAAATCGAAAACCCTAGAGTGATATTCCCCACGTTTAGGTCTTCTATCGCTATCCTCATCACCCGACTTCACACGCGGAGCGCGAAAGTGAAAAAGGCTTGTACTTGAGATCCTCTTGGGCTAAAAGATCATTGTCTGCCCATTATTGGGGTTCACAAATTGTTGCACCAGTTGTTGAACTTTCATTTCAAGTTCCTCAATTCTATTATCTCTGGGATCATGGATCGGGTCTACGAAACCCGCCTTGCATGGCCCCTTCTTACCGCCATGGGATCACGAAATCACAAACCCTAGGTAGATGATAAACAAAAACCTGTTGAAATCAGCAAGATCTAGGCCTTGTTGTTGATGTAGGCCACAAAAATCGATGCTACAACACCATGCTATAGTCCCATGCTACAGTGACTTGCTATATTACTGTTCGTGCGGATCGCGTACTTTGATACCATTGGATATAGGAAGGAAAGGTGAGAAATTGAATCCACCCTTTTCCTGAACGTTAAACAAGTAAAATCAGCAATAATGGTGCTGTAAATCAAGGTAAGAAAAGAAAATTTTCTTCTTTCATTAAATAAAATTCATTCTCATAACATTTGCCTCCCAAAATATGATATCCAAATTTTTATAAGCCTATGAAACCTTAATTTAACTTAAGATCCAAGTAAACATTTAAAAATCTACAATACCTTTAAAACAATAACGCGTAAGCAATAACTGTGAACAGTAATGTGCATATAACTGTGAACAGTATCATGAATAGTAAATAAACAAAATATAAAAGACCCTAGAATCCCGAAAAAACTTAAAAATCCTAAAAATAAACCCTAAAACTAATATCAAAATATACATCCCTTAAAATTGAATAAAAATAAAAAATAACAATAACTTTGCCCTCAATCACATATGTTCTGGTTTTCGTTCATTATGTGCTTAGGCTTTATAGTTTATATTCTTTAAATTGTTGCCATTTGGATGATGTGAAACGACCTTGGCCTGTCTATTTTCACCCTAGCATATTGCTGCATATTGGATGATACCCTGACATAGTGGATCCTAGTTTTCCGTAGTTCCCTTAAGATTCAATCAGTTGCATTGGATGCATGTTTGTGGTCTCATATTTGGAAACTCAATTTGCTGATTTTGATTTATTGGAATGGATTGTCATTTTATTGACAGGTTCCGGGAGCAGAAGCACTTGTCATACGTGTTGTGTCATCTGTTGACAAGAAATTGGAAGTGAAACAGAGGTTTCTAGAGATTTTCCAAGAACAAAACTACCCATCGGAATTCCCGTACAAATCCAAGGTGACGTGCCTAAGCACCTGTATGGTGATAAAATGAGTCATCTTTTTTCTGACAGTTTAGATTAAAATTGATATGTGATATTAGATGGGAATATTTGGTTTTATGAGAACTTCACTGATGATGATCGCATTATTGATTTTCCAGGTCATTTTGTTGTTCCAGAGGATTGAAGGTGTCGAGGTCTGCCTTTTTGGCATGTATGTTCAGGAATTTGGTTCTGAATGTCAGTTACCAAATCAAAGGCGTGTATATCTTTCGTATCTTGACTCAGTAAAATACTTTAGGCCTGAGACAAGGACTGTGACAGGAGAAGCTCTCCGTACCTTTGTTTATCACGAAATACTGGTACTTTATGCAACATTCACCAAATTTATCAGACTTATTCTTGTATAATGATTGAAATTTTAATTTCCGTAACTATACTTATGGGTAATGGCTTCAACTTCAATAGTAATATGTATTAATGTTGGATTAAGCTGTTTCTAAGGCTATTCAGTGAAGAACAGTAAAAGATTGCTGATAAGGGAACTCAAATGACATTTGTTTACAGATTGGATACCTTGAGTATTGCAAGAAACGGGGTTTCACTAGTTGCTATATATGGGCCTGCCCCCCTCTGAAGGGTGAGGATTATATTCTATATTGCCATCCTGAGATACAGAAGACACCGAAGTCCGATAAGCTACGGGAATGGTGAGTGTTACCTCTCATGCTCCTTCCTTACTTGTAGGCAGCTGCGAAATATTTGACATGCTTTTGATTGGTGTTGAGGGTTTCATGACATGAAGGTTCTTATGAAGCTTATGAGTTGTTTTTGTATAACTGTGTTTCAGGTACTTGTCAATGTTACGGAAAGCTGCAAAGGAAGATATTGTGGTGGATCTGACTAATTTACATGACCATTTCTTTGTGGCCCTTAATGAATCTAAGGCGAAGGTAACTGCAGCTCGTTTGCCATATTTTGATGGTGACTACTGGCCAGGTGCTGCAGAGGATATGATAAATCAACTTAGACAAGAAGAAGATGGGAGGAAACAACAAAAGAAAGGAAAAACGAAAAAGACTATTACAAAAAGGGCATTAAAAGCTGCTGCTCAAGCTGATCTTTCAAGCAATGCCTCAAAGGATGCAGTATTAATGGAAAAAGTAAATTTTATCTCTATCTTTATTGCTTTAGTCTTTTACTCTCTATTCCTCAATTTTCATCATAGATGTGGTGAATGTTTATCTAGTGTTGGTTTTGTGTAAGACGTCTCGCTGTGTTTAATAGGGGCTATGGTGGTTGCTAGTCAATTGATAAAAAATCATGATCTATTTAAGAAATTTCTTTTATTGAGTCAGTGGCTATAGATTGCATATTTTTTCGTTTCCTTCTTGGTGACTGTTATCTTATTTTTGCTCACTTGTCCTAGTTTTCGAGATTCTCTATCTTTTTTTGTTTCTTATAGCTTGTAGTTCCCATGTATAGCTTGGAGATACCATTCAACCAATGAAGGAAGATTTCATCATGGTGCACTTGCAGCATGCATGCACCCATTGTTGCCATCTTATGGTGTCTGGAAAACGTTGGGTGTGCAATCAGTGCAGAAACTTTCAGCTCTGTGACAGGTGACACTTTCTTGTAAATGAATTACACTTGTAAATGCATTTTGTAGAGAATTATTCGTACTCCTTTTCCCGTGCATGATGGAACTTCAATGCCTTTCTTGTGAACATGGTTAAGAAATAGCCAGTGGTAGTACAAGTCACATGTATACTTGTCATGTGTTGTTGGAAAGATAATGGGTGTTCTGTTAGTGTAATTGAATTGTTGATCATGAAACTCATTCTGTTGCAGGTGTTATGATGCTGAGCAAAAACTCGAAGAGAAGGATCGACACCCCATCAATAATAGTAGGGAAAAACATGTCCTTTCTCCTGTGAGTGTTCTGAACTAAATTCTATTTCCATTTATCAAATTTTTTTCTTTTCTTTGTTTTTTCTTTGGTGATAAAGGGTTTTCTGCTGTTTTGTTGTTTTGTATTTTAAGGTTGTTTGAGAATGTATATAGCGTCAGTTGCACAAAAGTTTTGGCGATTTCTTCTAAATGTTTTAACTACACCATACAGGTTGAGATAAATGATGTACCTGCAGACACTAAGGATAAAGATGAGATTCTAGAAAGTGAGTTCTTTGACACCAGGCAAGCATTTTTGAGCCTTTGTCAAGGAAACCATTATCAATATGATACTTTGCGGCGAGCCAAACATTCCTCAATGATGATACTTTATCATCTCCACAATCCCACGGAGCCTGCTTTTGTGACTACGTGCAATATCTGCCAGCATGATATTGAAGCCGGCCAAGGATGGCGTTGTGAGGTCTGTCCTGATTATGATGTTTGCAATGCTTGTTATCAAAAGCAGGGGGCTGTGGATCATCCTCATAAGTTGACAACTCACCCATCCCTGGCTGATCGTGATGCACAAAATAAAGAGGCTCGGCAGAAACGGGTTTTACAGGTACTGTTATTGAGTTAAAAAATGAGTATGCATTTAAAGTTTAATAAATAGAGTATAATAAATTTATTTAATTGTGGATAATCTCTGTTACAGCTTCGAAGGATGCTCGACCTTCTTGTTCATGCTTCTCAGTGTCGCTCTCCCCATTGTCAATATCCACATTGTCGCAAAGTCAAAGGCCTCTTCCGCCATGGGATACAGTGCAAGGTCCGGGCCTCTGGTGGCTGTGTCCTTTGTAAGAAAATGTGGTATCTCCTGCAACTTCATGCTCGAGCTTGTAAAGAATCAGAGTGCCATGTTCCTCGTTGCAGGTGTGTAAAATCTTCCTCTCTTCTCTTATTTTAATATCCCAATTATAAGAATGTGTGTGAGCGAGAGAGAGAGAGAGAGAGAGAGAGGAGGAGA